ATATATATATATATATAAATAAGAAATTGAGGAAATGAGCGCGAATGTTTCGGTCCATTAAGTCGTATACATTCCTATTCATTACCACAACTGGGCTTCATTGGCCAAGATTGCTGCTGTGGGGTTGATAAAATAAGAGTAATAGTTAAGATCTAAATATATACACAAATTACGAGTACCTAGTAATACTGAAGCGAATTATTAATTTTTCGATGTCAGCCGACTGCAACTTTTTCGATAAATCTTTCCGTTTTGGAAAGTTCTAAAGTTATTCAATTCCGCTTCAGGCTACACATCTGGGACTCTATTTTGTTAGAAAAAATGAAAAAATTGGAAGCAGCGAATCCGTCGAGTCTGAAGACGGAAGAACGTGTATGGGTCCCGGATGCTGTCGAAGGATTCGTAATGGGTATCGTAATTCGGGTAAGAAATTATCCCTTCTTCAACTAGGGATATTTTTCCCTTTTTTTAAAAAAATTTGTTTCCTTTTCAAAATAGTTTTTAAAAAAAATCAGACAAAAATGAAACCAGATTGGGTTGGTTTTTTTTTTGGAAATTTGTTTCCTTTTTAATATTTATTTTTAAGGAAAAATGGGTCGAATTGGCCCTTAATTGGATAGACAGTGTAGGCATGCGCGGTAGCTGAATTTGAAATCTTTAACTCATACATGCACAGCGAATATCCCTGCAAAGTTTCAGCTTTCTATCTTGTCTTATTCACGAAATCGTTTCCCTTTGGTAATCCTGACATTCGTTTCGTCTCGTAAGAGGGTTACCATCCCAGCGGTTCTTCTAAGAAAAAATACATGAGAAGACATTAGTCGTTTCTTGCTGTCTTTTGGATTGACCACTACATCTCAAAAGTGACCACTACGTCTTGGCTCGACATCTGAGTTTAAGATCTTTAGCTCGCACGTGCATCGATAATATCCCTGCAAAGTTTCAACTTTCTACGTTACCTGGTTCGCGAAATCGTTTCCCGCCAACATTCTCAAGAGTGACCACTACGTCTTGACAAACGATAAGGAACTGTAATGACTAGGACTGCTTGATAAAATGTGCGGTTATTTCCAGAATGTAGCCGATGATCGTGTTTTGCTAAGGATCGATGGCAGTAATCGTCAGATGACCGTATGTCGAGAAGAGCTACAATCCGTAAATCCGGCAAAATTAGATAAAACCGAAGATATGTCATCGCTGTCACATTTGAATGAAGCTTCTGTACTTCACAATCTTCGACAGCGATACTATTCTTCGCTTATATATGTAAGTGTTTCAAAAATTTTAAAGGTGCAAACAATGAATATCTCTGGCTATCGGACTGAATGTGGACGGGAGCCTGAAATCGCATCTATGTGTTAACATATGCAGTTTGTTTGGCGCTACTGGCCCACCACTGTGGAGAGGAACACAATCGAGTTTTGATAATTAATGAAAACACACTGGAAGTAGTGCCATTTAGATCTCCCAAATAAGGAATGATGGACCGAAACATTTCTTACCTACTTTAATAATTCCTTACATGCTTTTCATCGTTTTTTCTCCCATTTTTTCTTTAACCCTAAAGAGAGAGAGGGTTAAGTAAATAGCTTATCAACGTTACAGGTAATACAGTCTAGATCCCATGTTTCCTCTCTATTTCGATAAGAGAAAAACGGACCGTTAAATAATTCATAACTTTGTGCCATGTACTTACTACAGTCCTATTTCTGGATGGGCCATTTCACACCAAAATAAACTTTATTTAAAAACAAAATAAACTCAGCCGAGG